CGGTGGGCTGCAGAGACAGCCCGGGGTTGTGTCGGTTCCAGGACCCGAGGCCTCCCTCACTGTGTGCCCAACCACGTTGGCTACCAGGTCGAAGCGCTGGGAATGCCAGAGCAGGGGTCACTGTGGTGTTTGTGGTCTGCCACACTACAGGTTGGTGAGAAATGGGGCAAAGTAATCCAAGTGGGTATAATGAACGCTAATAGTGTCATAGAATGTTTACCTTCTTTGAATTTCATGTTATTTTGCCTATAGAGCAAAACCTGAGGCGTTTCCAAAAGTGTTTTGATATTGTTAGAGTACATGCGAGCACCGTGTTCACAGGTGCCCGGCTAGCTCAGTCGGTAGAGCATGAGACTCTTAATCTCAGGGTCGTGGGTTCGAGCCCCACGTTGGGCGGCTTGCTTTTAATTTGCTTCCAATGCTTTTCTCCTAGATCTCTATACACCGTTAGCTCCAAAAACGGTCTGTCACCGCTGTCAAATGAGCAAGTTTACAGGCCAACACTCTTAAGCGTGGAATTACGGGGTTACTGTTGCTGAGCCACTTAGGCCCCTGTAACTCTTCAGCGTGTCCTCATTGACCCCTGGCGGGAATGCGCCTCTCAGGATTACTACTTGTGTTCTTACTGGGTCTATAGCAGTGACTTTCCTCGGTGTAGTTTAAGCTCCTCGAATGATTCTCAAGCACTATGCCAATCAAAAAAGTCTAGAATGCGGGAAGAAGGTGCAGGGATGTTGGGAAAGGTAGAGACTGAAAGTGGACAAAACCACCCAAAGGGAAGTTGGATGGGCAGAGACCCAGAGGCAACAATGTCTATGGAGACTCAAATTTTCTATGGCCACTGCCTCCTACGCCCTTTCTCTGCCTGATCACTCACACCCAGGGAGCACAAGGAACCCCCCAAAATTTTTCCAACCTCTCTTCCCTTCCTCTGGCAAGGAAAAGAACCAACCAAGCCACGACAGGTTCCAATTGTCAACAAAATAAAATAGAAAGCCTTAAGCCTGTTTTTCAAAATCCAGACTGCATTTCTACCCCAACTCCTCTGAACTTTCTACCCTGTAGAAAATACTGCCCTGCCCAGCCACCGATGGTTGTTCACTTTGCACCCACCATGTACCCTTTTTGCTCACATAAATCCATGCTGGTTGTGGCGCCGACCATTTCAGCCCTGTGCTTCGCCAGTATTATCCCAGATAGGGGCAGATTTTGCTGTTAGTACAGTGACTCGAAAATCAGCCCCTTTGGTCAAATTGATTGGTCTCAAATTTTGGTCTCAGGGCTTTTTGAGATTTCCCCACCCTTCTGCAAAAATCCCACTGTGAATGTGTTCTTTTATTATTCCTTTGAAGCTTTTGTAGGTTCATTTGTATTGTTTCATCAAAACACCCACGACAATGAGTAGGAAAAGCAGACATATATACCTCTCCTTTGATAAAACCCAATTAACCACACATTAATGTTCTTTCAGGCCTCAGGACAATTCAGTGGAAACACCTGAGTTTGGGTATCCAGGGTCTGGCTGTATACGTGAATCACCTGAGGAGTTTCTCACATTTCAGATTCCTGGGCTCAATCTCAGACATAGTCAACCTAAATCTCTGATGGTTTAGAAACCATTGCTTTTGGTTGAGGCTGCTGATCCAGTTTAACATGGTGAATACACAATGTGGCTGTCTATTCAGGCTAGAATTCCACAGGAAGTCTACACCTACGGGAAACACTATCGGCCTCGTCTTACAAAAGGTCAGTGCCACCAATCTAATGTCAATAGGAGTCCCCAGTCTGGGTTGCGGTGAAGGGAAAAACTTAATTCAATCAAGCGACTGCATTGGAGCGCAGTCGCTACATTACTGAAGACGTTATAACCAGTGTAATGGGGGGCTTTGTGTTGAATTATGTTCTGGTTCCAAAATCAATACAATAAATCATATTGTTGGGATAATTGGAGAAACTGGACCATGAGCTGATTATTAGATACAGTGGAATTATTGATACTTTTCCTAGGTGTAATAATGATGGGATATGTAGGATGCCCTCACACATAGGTATGCACGCTGAAGTATCTAAAGATGAAAGTCATGATATTTGCAACTTATTTTCAAATGTTACAGCACAAGAAATGCGAACGCGCACGAAAAAGCGAGAGGGGGAGAGCAAGGAGAGTGGCAGGAAACAGGGACTTCTGGGCATGGTGCCGATTTCCTTTTTGCAGACCAGCGGGTGCTCCCCTTTTCTCCTTGGTCCACGGCTGTGGGTCTTTGAAGGACAGGGCCGACGTGTCCAGGACGTGGAAACGTGAGGCCGCGGGCACCTGCTGCTGCGAGCACAGAGTTGGCACCCGCGGTTTGCAGCAGAGCGACGTGCTTCCTTCGATAGCTCAGTTGGTAGAGCGGAGGACTGTAGTGGTTCTTCTCAGACATCCTTAGGTCGCTGGTTCGAATCCGGCTCGAAGGAACTGGCTTTTTCGAGTTCTTTTTCATCCCCGATCCATCTCAGTTCTTTAAGTCTTGAATGGGCATTTCTTTAAGACCGTCCTTATTGTGCAGCGAATCAATACTTTTACACCATTATTCTCCATTATTATTCACTGTAATCAAGACATACGCTCAGTCATACTTCGGCCCCTCGGCTCATGCGCCCCCTGCTGGTCCTATAGTTCTGAGTCTCCGGAAGGATTTTTCTGGTGATGCCCCCTGCCCCGCAGGCAGAGAGAAACTCGGGCACTACGCCCCCTTGCTCCCTTTAAGTGACGGCGATTCTCAACCCTGGGTGAGAACGGTTGGTGAGTATCAAAATCTCCTGGGGAGATTTTACAAAGCGCTTCTGCTCGGGACACTTTGCAGGCGGGTCCCCTGCGTTAGTAGTTTCAAACGCTCCCAGGTGATTTTAACGTGCTGCAAAGTTTGGGAACCACTGCTATGAGAGAAACAATCATTTTAGGATAAAAAGTAGAAAAATGCGTACGATTTTCTACCCGCTTTGGGGATTACAAAGGAGAGATCTCAACAATAGAAAAAGGCTTTTGTAATTTCGTGCCAATTTCATTTCTCCCCGTCTCAAAAATATGATCCCGAGTATTTATCCAAGACTCCTCACCTACAAAGATACAGATCAAGGTAAGGAAGAGTTGCTGAGGATTTTGTGCCTGGAAATGCTTGTATTTTTTCCCCTTGGGCTTTTTAGCTTTTGTTCAAACCTGCAAACGTGAGTGAAATCCCCAAAAGTTGACTTTTGCCTGTCCTGTCCTGAAGGTGAGGTAGCCACCAATACGTGGCTCTTGGCGCAATGTCCATCTCTGTCATGAAATGTGCAATGAGAAGTCCGGATCTCTGTGACCTAGCGGATCTGTTAGCTGAGAATGTCTAGAAACGCTTTTTATAAAACTGGAGAATGCGGGCATCGATCCCGCTACCTCTCGCATGCTAAGCGAGCGCTCTACCATTTGAGCTAATTCCCCACCCGGCACGTCGTTGGGTTCCCTTACTCACCTTAATATTTGAAAAGAATTTAGAATTCCAGAATACAAATTATAATTGGTCTATCAGTTCATAGGCCCAAGAGTGGAATTGTGGGTCAGTGGTGATCAAACAGCCACAGCACGAATTCAAGCCACCAGCGCCACCTGTAACCTGCTGCACGGAGCTGGATCATGTGTGGAGATAATCCGCAGAGCGCGGACATCACTTTATTCAACACTGGAATCCACCTCTTACTGAAATTGGGGCAAGAGGATCAAAATTGACATGCAAAAGGTGAAACATCTTATTCGAGAAAGTGACTGTCCCTAGGCTCTGCAGGGCACACAGGGCAGACCTTTCCAGGTCTTTACTATGTCCTTAATGCTTGCTCTCTCTTCTGCTTGCTTTCCTTCCTTCCTTCCTTCCTTCCTTCCTTCCTTCCCTGGGAGCTGACATAAAGTGCATAAATTTCTGTGGGAAGAAACCCGCCCCTTCCACACCGTTTGAGACAAGAGAGTTCAGAACTTAGGTGTTCTCAAAGTGGCTCAAGGTCAGTCTTGCCCTGATTCTCACCACCACCTGGGAACTTTTGCCACACTCTTTCATGGACAGAATTTGCCCAGCCACAGAACTCAGTTTGGCCTCCGCTCATTTGTTTGTTTATGTTCTGTGGTTCTATTGGAGTGCAGGTGTAGAATTGGAGTGAAAGAAAATCGCCCGCTCCACCCCGTCGCTCAGATCCATAGAGCTTTATCGAGGCTGACTGTGAACTGTATGAGTTCTTCACTCCCCAATCCCGGAGAACATACTGGGCATTGACATCTTACAAAGACAGACTTGGCAAACTTCGATTGGGGAATTCAGCCTCCAAGTACGAGTAACAAAATCAGTACCGAGAGCAGGCCCAATGGGGAGCCCATTAGGGGAGCCGGGGAGGGTGGTGACCTGCATGCAATACGGGTTACGGGGAGGATACTCGAAAAACGGTCCAGGAGCGCCATCGTGTGGACATTGTGCGCCTTGCACATGGCGCCTTTAAGAGTCAGTGAGGCGGGTAAGAAAGCCGGACGGCTCCCGAAGAATGACAGTGGACTGTGGAGAACCAGAGAGGTGCTGCCTCCTATTCATGCAGCCATGCCTAATACTACCACCACATAAGCCACTTCAGCCACTCCCAAAATCCCGGGACAGAATGCTGCATCCCGCCATTTTGCGCCTCCCGAGGCATTCTGCGGGGTGTGTTAGACTAAAGAATCGGCTTCTTCCGTGCTCCTCTTCCAGTCTGCATTTTCCGGTCGGCCTCTCCAGCCCGGAAGTCAGGCGACTTCCGCTTTCCTGAGTTTGGGACCGGCTCTCTCGGTTTAAAACTCCCGGGACCTGGGATCCACTTCCGCCCTCTGCGCTGGACCTGGACCCGCCCGTGACGCCCAATTTCGTCTCCTCATTGGTCAGAACCCTCATTGGCCCCGCCCCCTCGCCGCAGGCTGTCCGACGGCCGTCAGACGGCGCTGTGCTTTACGGCTCTAGCGCTTTACGGCTCTAGTGCTTCACGTCTCGGCAAACATGGAGGCTGAGGAGTCGGAGAAGGAGCCAGCGGAGCAGGAGACTCTGGAAGGCAGAGATGGGGAACCAGAGGCGGCGGCGGAGGAGGAGGAACCCCAAGAAGCGACTGGTGGCGCTAAGAAGCGGGTGGTGCCGGGCATTGTGTACCTGGGCCACATCCCGCCCCGTTTTCGGCCTCTGCACGTGCGGAACCTTCTCAGCGCCTATGGAGAGGTGGGGCGCGTCTTCTTCCAGCCCGAGGGTAAGTGCGCGTGTCCGAGGCGCTGGGGTCAGTCCGTGGTGTGAGCAGGTCCCGTAGGGCTGGGGTGGGCGGTAGCCCTGTAGGCCTGTCCTCAGCTGATTTAGATTTTACCCTCGCCTCCGCCCGCCCCTCTTCTCTGGTCCGATTTTACCACTTTTTGTTAAATGAGTACAGCTGCCTAAATAAAATACCAGTGGCTTTCCCACAAAACCGAAGCCATCCCTTATCACTGCGGCCTAGGTGGGGAGACAGTATCGATCAGCCGACCCCAACTCCCCGGCAGGCACTCATCGGAACGGGAGTTGGAGGCCTGTGAGGGTTTAAAATAGAACGTTCAGGGAAGACCTGAGCAAGGAGTGTTAACACCAAAAGTAAAGGCCACTTAAAGTGAGAGGTAACAAGCACTTGACATCAGTAAGAAAAGCTATTCAGGAAAGCACTGATTCAGGCAGAAGCCCAAATAGTATTCCAATTAGGAGGCCAAGGCAAGGGGTGTGTATGAGAAGGAGAAGGGGAACAATGACATCAGTAGGAGAAGATCGTTGCTACTGGTGCGGATAACAAGACATAGTGATGTTAATCCTAAACAATGTTTTAAATTTCAGTCTAGGAACCATCCATCTGGTAGTCATGGTATCTACTTTTTTGTTATCCTTGCAAGCAGTTCTTGGGGGCACAAAGTTGTTTTCGGCCCAGTCCAGAGGTTATTTACCCTGTTCAAACGTCCAGAGATTTGAGGCATAAACATGCAAAGCAATTCCTTCGGGCTGTCAGCTTCGACACCAGTTTAAAGTAGTCCCATTTATATTGTGACAGGAGTTGACATTCAGAAAGGATTGAGTAGGCATGGGGGCGGGGATGGGGGGAGGTGGATTTCGCAGTTCTCTACTCCTTTCCTGGCAAAGACCTTGCGGTGGGATGGTGGGATCGCGGCCGGCGGGCAGGCTTTGAGAAAGCGGCAGGTGGACGTGCAGTGAGTGGGTGCTGCGTCTGTCTCCGTGACCACCACTCTTGTCTTTTTCACACAGAGGGGTTCGTGCGGCGCAAGAAAAAGGCAGCGGCAGCCTCGGCGGCCGGAGGGAAAAAGCGGTCCAGATACAGCAAGGACTACACCGAGGGCTGGGTGGAGTTCCGGGACAAGCGAGTAGCCAAGCGTGTGGCCGTCAGCCTGCACAACACGCCCATGGGTGCCCGCAGGCGCAGCCCTTTCCGTTATGACCTGTGGAACCTCAAGGTGAGAGGATAGGCTTGCTTCCTGCATCTCTCGTCTTCCTGCCTTCCCAACCCCAGAGGAGGCACCTCTGTAACCTCTTGCTAGCTCTGCTCCCTCGTTTTCTTTCCACCCCTGACCTACCCAGAGCTTTTCTTGTGTTCCCGTCCGCAGTACCTGCACCGTTTCACTTGGTCCCACCTCAGCGAGCATCTCGCCTTTGAGCGCCAGGTGCGCAGGCAGCGCCTGAGAGCTGAGGTTGCCCAGGCCAAGCGTGAGACTGACTTCTATCTTCGAAGTGTGGAGCGGGGGAAGCACTTCCTCGCTGCCGATGGGGACTCTACCCGCCCGGATAGCACCTGGTCCTTTGCCCAGCGTCCTACCGAGCAGGAGCTGAGGGCCCGGAAGGCAGCTCGTCCAGGGGGTCGAGAACGGGCTCGACTAGCCAATGCTCAGGACCAGGCCCGCTCCAACAGAGGGCTCCTCGCCAGGATCTTTGGAGCCCCACCACCCTCAGAGAGCACGGGGGGACCCTCGGCGGTCAGGGACTCTTGACGGGCAGAGTTCGCTTCACCTCCTAGCCCAGCCCAGAGTTCTGCCTACCTGATGACTACTCAGGCCGGCATGTTGTATCTCAGACCAGGAGTCACCGGTGAGTGTCCAGACCTAGTTTTGGGGCCCTCTCTTTCCCTCCAACTCCATACAAGCCGGACTGAGGCACCCAATTCACATTCATAGTGTGATTAAGACTCCTACAGATGCCTGTTTTGTCTTGTTCTTGGCTGCCTGCCTCCTGCCCATTGGAGTCCTCTAAAATCCCCACTTCCTGGGCCCAGGAAAAGCCTTATGTCAAGCCACAGTGAAAATGGCCAGTCCAGGAGGCCACATACCAACTACAGGTACGCGCAATGGCAGCAGCCTTGCATTTAGAAAAGATTCACAGGGATGGGGGTTAATGGGGTGGGACTGGCTGGGGAACCATCTTCCAAATGTATTTATAAAAAAGAAATGTGTGTGTGTGTTTAATACAACCTTGGGGGGGGGGGCGGGTTATGGGATAATTTCAATTTCCTGTGTCCCATTTACTCACTTTCACTCTGTTCTGGTCTCAGAATTTAGTGAACCTGGACCCCTTCCCATCTGCCTAATTAATTTTTTAGCCCATTTTATTAGTTATCCAGCTCAGTGTTCACCATCCGCTCTGTGAGCATGTGAGAGAATATAACAACTCATGGTACGTGGCATTGAGAGCCTCACAGACCACTAGAAAAAGGCGGGTATTTCAGGAATAAATGTGCAGAGGTGCTTCCGGCATTATGGTGGATGAGTGGTGTGCAAGGGGTAGAGGGGTCATGGGAGGGCTGGTGACACCATCGGGAAGGTAAGAGAAGCCCTTAGTGTGGAGCTGTGGAGCTGAGTCCCAGTCACAGTTTTCAGAGATGGGGTCATTTTTACCAAGTTTTCTGAATCGTCCCTGGAAGGTGAGCAGAAGTCTGGAAGAGCCTGGTGAGCTACAATCTTGCACAAAGCTCCCTGGGTGAAGTGTTGGGTCGGAACCATTTCAAAGGTAGCGGGCACTGTGACTGCCTCAGGTGCACTCTGTTGGGACTAAGACAGGCGGTCACAGACGATAAGGGCGGCCCCAGAGGCGACAGACTCGGTGTAAACCACTGAAGACAAAGAGGTGTCACCACAGCTGAAGTCTGTGTGCAGCCTCAGAGATTGAACCTTTGGTCAGAATCCAGATGTCATGGCTGGGCAAATACAGTGGTAGAAGATGGAAGTTCAACTAAATTTAACACTGTAATGATAAAAAAAAACCCCTTAGTAATCCAATAATAAAAACGTTTCTTTAAAAGGGGCATCCAGAAGGATATTATTATAAATCTCAAAACTAATTGTGAAGCATTTAAAATATTCTAATTAAAGTCAGGACTGCATGAAGATACTTCCTACTCATACATTGTCCAAGGAATCTTGGAGATTCAGAGACAAAGATTAAAAAAAGTCCAGAAGAAAAGAAACTGACATTTGCAGGTGATATAATTTCAACGTAAGTGTCCAGAAAATTGGTTTTGTTGCAGATTTGACCACCATACTGTACATAAAAATAAACAGCACTGATGCCACAGATAAAGATGCCATACACATGAAAGGATGCTGAGGTGGCAGTGAACACAGAGGCTCCCTGTTGACACCAGGCTGTACAGGGATGGGTGAGTGTTCACTGCAATCGTGTGGACATCAGCCCAGAGTCGAAGCTATGTAGCAGGATGCTGTAGAAGTGTTTAAAAGTTCGCATGAACTGGCAATGGGTTAATTTTAAAGATGCAAGTTTAAGAATTCTATGGTGTATAGTACCTGGTATATCAAGCATAAACGTTTCCATATGATTTTTACAAATACCTATGCATTCAGCAAAATAAGCCATTCCTGGGAATGCTAACCAGAATGGCAGAAGGGTAAGGTGGGTATGACGAGAGTTACAAGGAGGCATCAGCTCTGGTGGAAATTTATTTTCATTAAAAAAAGGGGGGGGTCATAAGGTTAAGATATAAGCTTTAACTTAGATATGTGCCTATTATGTCATTTTGTACCATGTGCCATTACAATATTTTACATTGCTAAAACAATTTTTAAAAATGAGTTATTGCCAGGAATAAAATACTTTACTTACCTGGTGCCTAAATGAAACTTCAAGCGATGATTCATCTGGTTACTGGGAATTACCCAGTCAGTTCCTCAGTCTGTGAGGGAAGATCCTGGTCTGACGCTATGAACACAGTGGGACCTACTGTAGCACCATCAGTCGGCAGAATAAATGATCTTATGACCCAACTATAAGGCTGATTACCAGATTATACTTTGTGTGTAAAACATCCTGGATTCATCACAAGTGCCCTCAATTCCAGATGTACACAAATCTGTAGTAGTGTGATTTTCATATTACATTGGGTTAGGCCTGCAGGTGACAGCATTTCTGTCAGAACAGGTCCCGCTCACTAATCAGTCAGCATGGGCTTACATCACTTCGGTGGCTGTCTATTTACTCCCACTAGGTCATTCTGCCACAAAGCACCAAGGTGACCAAAAGCTCTATCCTGAGTCTGCTAGTCATGGCATTTTACCCCTAGGTCCCAAAGAACCACACCAAGTTTTATAATTTTTAAATTACGCAGTTATTTAACTAGATTCCCTGGGTCTTTGACTCTGCCATGCCCATTAAAAGTTTTTACTTCCACAGTACACCTCATTTAATGAGTCTCTGGACACTTTTTCTAAGTCCTACTGAGCTTGAGACAGAGACCAAGCTTCTAGCACTTACCCAAGCCAGCAGCCACTCCAACCCATGGTAGAGAACATCAGAATCACACTCAAAATAAAATTTACATTATAACTTCCAGGCATGTTGAAACCTAAAAGACATATATTCCAGCAATCTCATTATGAAAGATAAAATTAGACATAAATGCACAACTTCCTTCAATGAACTTCAGGTGAAATTTGCAAGTTCAAACATAAACCTGTAAGAAATATATTTGACCAGAAAAAAAGTGACCACCACAAAAAAGAAATTTCATTATGTGAGAGGGTGTTCGGGTCCTCTCCAATCTTGAACATTTGATGTGTTAAGATTTCCAAAGTTTGCAAGCTTGCTTTGATGAATCTGTACAATAACCAGAAATCTGACCTTGATAAAATGATTTCGAATCTGGACCTCAACAACTACACAGGGTTAGTGGTGGGGTGTAGAGGTCCTTCACAGCTTTGCTCAGTTACAGTAACAGTGACACTTATTCTAAATTAGAAGTTAGCTGAATGGACTCTGAGAACCCTAAAGTTCTGCACAATTTTGTGCCTCAGTGGGAATACTTACCCTGACACCAAGATCACAAATGACACAGCAGGGCTGACCACTTTCCCCCAGCCTCAGACCAGAGAGGCTGGACGAAATGGTTGGGGTGGGGGGATATGTTCACTAATTACATTGGAAAGGATCATTAACCCTTTGTCCAGTCACACCTAAAGATCTCTAGCCTCTCACCATGGGCGTGTTCTCACACTGATGCGTTACTAGTACCAGCACTCCTTCCAGGGAGCAGAGCAGAGAGAACCGTAGTTGAGCAGAACTGAGCTGCTCTCCAGGCCAATATTCTCCCGAGTGTCTTTCTTTATCTTGGAAACCTGGATGTGTTTAACTTCTGTGAGTAATGAAGGCATGGACTCCACATGGGTCTATGGAGCACAGGTCGTTACTGAATTTTAGCCCTGTATGGTCAGATGAAGCTAGGACTCCTCCCTGCGCTATTATGTCCTGCAGTGTGGTGGGGGGGGTTGGAGGGGCGGGGACTTGGAAAGGACCCATGGTCCTCTGGGTTTTGTTCGCTCCTAGCCAGAAACCCCTAGAATTCTAGAAATGGTCCAGTGACTGTCCCCGCACCAGAACTGAGGCCCACATGAATATCCACTTTATTTTTTTTTTCAGCTTTATTCAGGTATAACTGAAAAGTAAAATTGTAAGATATTTAATGCGAACATCACAATGAGCTGATGATGTACACATACATTGTGAAAGGATTCCTGAATATCTGCTCTATTCTAATGCAAGTGTAGGGGGAACATTTTTTTCTTAGTACAGTAGAGACAAACTGGAGTTTTTCAGAACAAGTGTTTATTTAAGAATTAAGGGCAAACAAAACATTAAAGCATAGGAATACACTGAATACAACTGTCTCGTTTGGTCTGAAATCTTGAAAGTGACCCTAACTACTTACCTGAGGTAGATCTAGGTTGGCACTGTTTCAAGAGAACCTCCAACCATCCCAGAAGTTGCCTTCTAGTGCCGGTTACAGGCCCCCAGGCGGTCCTCCCCAGCCTCAGGCTACGCTGCGTGAACAGTACCCACACCTCTTGCCCACGGTTAAAAGACCCTGGACCTGTTTCAAACCCACAAAGTTCTGCTTGGGGGATGGTCCATCCTTAATTTACTTAAAGACTAGATACAGCTAGTTGCCAGTGAGATGAGCCAGAAGAAGGGTCGTTACCCTGCCGTGAGGCCACCTCTGTCCCCTTCTGCAGGTTCTAATGACTAGCAAGCAGCCACAGGACTAATTTTCGTTGCTGCCATGCCATACACCCATACTATTTTAGTGTTACAGTGATCAAACACACACTAGCGATAGGCACCAAAGAAAAACAAATACATCTTGTGTGTTTTACCACACTGGGCAACTGTTCATGGTAGAAGAGCTATTTACGGAAATAATACTAAAACATACCAGAGTGAATAACCTTCCAGGACCTGTTTGCTAAAAGAAAAACACCCTGGAACTAGATTCCTTCCTATCACTTCGAGCTGCCCTGTGACCCCAAGATTATCAAGGTCACCAGCCAGCCATCAGGATCAGAGATCAGAGCCACACACAGAGCAGCCGCTGGCCACCTCTGTGGTCCAAGGTCAGTGCTCCTGGAGTTCAAGGGTTTGCTGAGATCAACTAGATTTGTCAGACGCAGACTAGCAACAAAATATTTATTCACCAGTCTAGAGTCCCAAATACTGCAGGAATCTTAAGTATTTTTATTACATCTCTTTTGAGGGGAAAAATCCCCTCAGAACTGTTCATTTATAGATCCCTGGATTATAGTACTTCTAGAGAATGTTGAATATAATAGTTATTCTGTTAAACTAGAAATAAGTGCTAATCCCTAAACCTCTGATAAATTTGGCAACTACTTTTCCCTTCTAGCGTTTAAAATCCTACATTCCAAGCCAAATAAATACCTTATATTGTAGTGATTGCAATCCTTTCCCTGGGAATAAAAAGTAGTCTCTCCTTTCTTGGCAGAACTGAAACAAATGAAAGGTATATCATTACGGGACTGAATCAAACAGCAGGATAATGGAGAGAAAAGAACACTGGCTTTGGAGGCAGGAACCTCAAAACCAGAAACACAGCTGCTCCACTGACAAAACGTCACCAGGTGTCACCTGCCTGCACAGGCCGGACATCCTGGCAGCCCTCCCGTTGCCATTCTGCACGGAGCTGCTAAGGAGGTGTTAGCACCGGGAGGGGCGGCACACGAAGCCACAAAGATGTGGATACTAGCAACACCATAACTGCTCCTCAAACTGGAGTTTCCGAGTTGAAAAGAGATGAATCTCTAAAGCAGAAATTTCAAACACCAGTGATACTCAGACATTCTCGGGAAAGGAAACCTTTGAGGGTTCGCCCCCACTCACACCAAGTGTGAAACGCCAAGTGTCCCGCCTGTGTGTGAGGTTGGCCCTGCAAAGGGTGAGCTTCTGGGAGTCCTGACCCAGGAGAGCAGCTCCCCACCTGCCTGGTGGTTTCCACTTCCAGCAAGTTCCCCAAGCGACTGTCAAAACCAGTCCCCAATCTGGCCAAGAATTTTTTAAAAAATAGTAACCACCACAAGGCAAAGTCAGTCTTCTGCTGTCCCCCACAGTAACACATGCCACACCGTCTGTCACAGGGCACAGTCCTTTCCTTTATTGGATTTCCACACTTTAAAAAGAGAAAGTAAAGCGATCATAATGAAGTGGTTGAGATAAAAGAAAAGGATCTTTACCTGAGTTTCCCATCAGGCCTGCTCTGATCTGCCCGAGCTCCTCCCACAACGAGCTTCTGGGCATCTAAGAACCGTCCAGGTATGGACTCCATGAAAGTCACCTCTACACACGGGTCAGCTAACTGGGAACATGGCTATTCTCATACCTACTATATGTACACCACCCCCGACTAGATCTCGCGCTAGAGCACGATTCTCCGCAGAGTAGGTTCTTTGGGGCCCAGAGGTGCAGGTTTCTAACAAGGCTTTTTTCAGACTCAAGATATTTATGGGGGTTTTCACCCGTGTGGGTTCCCTCGTGTGCCAACCAAAGGAGCTGATGGCTGGCAGCTTTTCTCCCTCAGACTTCATAAGGTCTCTTCTCAGATCGGTTTTGTTGTTGTTGATGCAAACCCAAGAAGGCTCTCCATCTAGTGCTTTGCCACACTCAAGAGAAATACCTAAATTGTCACCGATATGGCTTTTCTGATGGTGAGGAAAGTCACAGTTCCTTTGGAAGCTTTCACCACACTTGCTGGGGTTTCTCCCGAGTGTGGGCTCTCTGACGTCAGCGAGCTGTGCACACCAAGGGCATTGTCCTCTGGTGAGAACTCCCTCGGAGGGAGGGGAGGGAGCGTGGCCTGGAGGCTCTCCCCGTCTCGGCATCTGCAAGGTTTCCCACTGGTACGAGTCCCCTGTGAGTGACCAGATCAGAGCTCAGACTAAAGGTTTTCCAAGCCTCAGGGCCTTGGAAGGTTGCTTGTTGGAGTGACCGGTAGGATTCTATTAGGGCAGCTCTCTGGGCAAACCACTTCCCAACTTCCTGTAATCGCAGTCTCTCTGGTCCCCACTGAAGTCTGAGCTCTTAGAAAAACCTAAGCTTTGCCTAGAGTTCCTCATTTTAATGAGTTCTCTGACTCATAAGTGTTTTTTTTTTTAAGGTGTTATAACTTCTTGTCTGGCCAAGACGTTTGTGAGGCTTCTGGTGCACGGGGAGGGCTGAGCTCAAGCCCCTTCTCCCCTGCGTTACAGACACAGGGCTTCTCGCCACCATGGACGGTCTGGTGCTGCAGGAGGGCCGAACTCTGGCGGAAGCCTTTGTCACACACACTGTACGGATAACGCAGCTCCTCCGTCTGAGTTCTCATTTTCGGCTGGGCAACAAAGCCCATGCCCAGGAGGAAGCCGCTCTCACAGGCAGACCACTGATGGGGCTTCTCTTCCATGTGAATTCTTTGATGCACAATAAGGTCTGAGCCACAGCTGAAACTTTTCTCGTATTCAAGGCATTTAAAAGTGTGCGTGTGAGTGGCCTGGTGCCTGATTAGGTTGGCACTGCGAGTGAAACTTCTCATACATTCCAAGCACTTGTAGGGCTTCTCCCCGGTGTGGACCCTCTGGTGGACAATGAGGTCTGACTTCTGGCCAAAGCACTTCTCACAGGCGCCGCACTTGTAGGGCTTCTCCCCGGTGTGGACTCTCTTGTGAACAATGAAGGCTGAGCGGTGTCGGTAGCTCTTCTCACACTTGTTACACTTGTAGGGCCTTTCGCCAGTGTGAGTTCTCTGGTGGCTAATGAGATCCGACTTCCCACTAAAAGCTTTTTCACACTCCAGACACTTAAATGGTTTCTCGCCAGTGTGAGTTCTTCGGTGCCGAATGAGGTTCGTACTTCGACTGAAGCACTTATCACACTCGCTGCACAGGTACGGTTTCTCGCCAGTGTGGCTTCGCTGGTGGACAAGCAGATCAGAGCTCTGTCCAAAATTCTTGCCACAAATGTCACACGTATAGAATTTTTTACCTGCGTGTGTTCTCTGGTGCCCTGAAAGGGCTAAGTGGTGCCAGAAGCTCTTCTCACATTTGCTACATTTATAGGGTTTCTCATAATTGTGGATCCTCTGGTGTGAAATGAGATCTGAGCGCTGGATGAAGGTTTTCTCACACATATCACATCGATAAGGTTTCTCTCCACTGTGGGTTCTCTCACACATAATAAGAGCTAAGTTTTCGCAGAAGTTTTGCTCACGTTCAAGGCACTGGTATAAGTGATCATCTATATGAGTAATCTCATGCACACGAATGAAGATCTTCTGACCCTTCTGAGGGCGCACACGATACACTGTCCTTCTCTGAGTTCTCTGATCACGCCTCTCTTCTGAAGTGTACATCTCTGTGGCTCCCTCCTAGGGCGCTTCCCACTGGCCACCTTGGCCCGTCATCTTCTCCACTGTCATTTTCCTGATAAGAACTTGGAAGATACGCCCATTTTAGGCCTTTGAGTCATGAGCTGTGCATCTCTACAGGTTTCCAGCATCATATACACTAATTCCTTACTTGGTATTTCCAACACTGTGAGACAAAGAAGAAGTATTATTTATATTCCTATAACTGAGAAAGAATGCTCAGAGTTAAAATCACTGTGGAAAAGATAGAAGTTCTGCATCAGCCTGTAAGCGCCCCAGGTGCTGCAGGGGCCAAGCCAGAGTCAGTCTCCCTCTTTGCCAATATAAAACCAATCAGCAATACGAGTGCAAAGTACTAGGGCCAATTATTCCTTTCATGACCTGGGTGACCTCAAACCCAGGTCCTTCCTCCTCCGCCCTTGCTCTGGCCCAGGGGTGCCGCCTCCCCTGCCCCTTCGCTGCTCCGTCTTTCTCCACAGCGCTCACTGCCCAGTGCAGCACACACAAAACCCACTGACGCGCTGTCTACGGCTAGAAGATGCACAGTGTCTGTTTTGATTGCTGCTCTTTCCTTAGTATACAGAGCAGGCATCCAGTTGGTGCTTAATAAGCAGCTTATTGCAGTTCCACTTGGATCCTCAGCTGGCAAAGGACAGGGCTGAATGCCACACGGTGGGAGCTGGTCTGATAGGATGTGGTTTAGAAGAAACAAGCAAGGTGCGTTTCAAAAGACTGAGGAAGCTGGAGCTCACCTGGAATGTAGTGGAGGGAGAGCAGCATTCACTTCTTGGTCCTGAGACTCTGACTTCTCAATGAAGATTGCATTCTGGAAAACACAAGGACAAGGAAAGGGTAGACAGTCATAAATGACAGGACTCAGCACTAGATCATTTCACTCAAAGAACCTAAAATCGGTAGTTTCCTTAAAAAGAGCTGCAAGGTTTTCTTATACAAGGCCTCATGTTCAATCCCGAAGAGAGTACTCACAGTCCTGTCACCCCACATGCCTCTTGAAAGAAAAGGACATAAAGAGTCCATAACCCATCCTTGGGGATGTGACGGCATCGCAGGAAAGGGCCCCTGCCTACCCTCACTGACACACTGAGGCGCCACCTTCCCCAGGAGCGCAGGCTGCCCTGGCCTGAATTACCTCAGGGAGCACCATGTCCCCAGGGAGGGGTGCCACCACCCCTGCCTTCTTGGCCAGACATGCCATCGCCATCGTCACCATTTTGGCTATTCACAATTTCTATTTCAGCCACATATCAGGATGCAGTCGACTGTGGGCACACGGAACCAGACAGCCAGACCTGTCCTGGATTTCCTCCCTCCGCAGCTCTAACCTGCCTATCCAGGTCACCAGACTCTCAGGTCCTTCCACCACCTCCTGCCACTGAGGAGCAGGGGGGAGCACGCAATGCTCAGATGCAGACAGCAGCGGGCACACGCACAGAGTCCACCGCCACCAGGACTCACACGACACGTTCAGGGCTCTGGTTCTGGTTCCCGCAAAGACGGAGTGCACGCACGCCAACCGGTTCGCTTCTCCCGCAGAACGCGAGCCTGAGCCCTGCACGGACCGCAGGGAGCAGGGCCCGGGAGCAGCAGGGGCGCGCAGACCACCGGAGCGCAGCCCGACCTGCGGCTAATTTTTGTCCTTTCTGCATCCCTTGGCCGGACTCAGTACAGGCGGAAGCGCAGACGTCAGAGGGACTGCACAATGTCAGGCACCTGGCACTTTTCACGACGCCACGGGCTTCCTGCCGGGGGCTTAAAGCCGACTCCAGTCGGTGCACAGAAAGCACAGCTGGGCAGCCCGGGGCAGAGCCGATCTAAAGCTCACTGTCAAAAGGAGAAAACCCACTCTAAACACGAAAACACTTTAAAGAGTTCTGATCAAAGAATACAAGGAGGACACTTTGCGTGCACGTGGGACGGGAAGAGGCGGCTGTGGAAGGACAACTGCTCGCAAAGAGGAGGGTGGAAGGGGGGGGCGGGGGGGGGGAGGAACCCTGTGAGCGCACCGCCAAGGCAAAAAGAGCAAAGGGAAACTTCAGGTCCTTCAAAATGAAGGAAAATTTTTCAATGCACAATCTCCCTCTCTCCACTATCTTCTAAAAATGCCATCCTGTTCTAAAACAAAAGCAAAACTTGCCAACAACGGCAAAGTGCTTCATGAGCAACCTTGTACAACTTTTTATGTTCTAATAAAATCAAAATAACTCACCAAAAACTGGGACAAGAGGAAGAAAACAAAGTCAAATAACCTCACTGATTACGGCATTAATGGGAAAATCAGATAATTAAAGGTTCAATAAGAAAATGGGACTAAAGGCATTTTAAAAAGTAATTGCGGGGGGCGGTGGTGGTGGAAGAAGGTATAAGGGGAATAAATGGTAATGGAAAAAGACAATAAAAAGCTACATTAAAACATTTTTAAAAAAGGTCTAAATACAAAGGTAGCCATAATAACAAAAATCAAACATTGTAAAAAATTTTAAATGAAAGAGCAATGAAAACACATTAGACAAATGTTATATAAACAATACACCAGTGATGAGACCAAACACATCAATCACATCAATAAATGTGAATGAGTTTAACTCACTTGTTAAAAGTGATTTTTAACATGGCTCACAAGCAAGACCAAATGCGCTAAATACAAGACACCTAAAAACAAAACGATTCGGAAAGACTAAAAATAAAGGCATGGAAAGGAACACCAGGCAAAGGGAAACAATAAAAGTAGGGCTTCTATTCACGATATCGAGCAAAGTGGAACGCAAGCCAAAATGCACTGAACATGATAAAGGACACTCTTTAAATTGTGAAAGCCAGTAATTACAATAAGCTTACAAAAGTTTTGATTCTCTATGTACCAAATTACACAACAGTCACCTGTTTAAAGCAAAACCTAGAAGATGCCCAGAAACATAAATAAAAACATCAGTAAGAAAAAATACTACTGTCAGTAAAAGGACACACAAGCTGGACCAAAAATAAGTAACAATGCAGAACACCCAAATAAGGTAACCAGTGAGTGGATCTCATGGGCATCTGTTAAAACTTACACCTTCATAAGGAATAAACTTTCTTTTCAAGCACAAATGAAAGAGTCATATATTATTAGGTTATCAAGGAGGTATTAGTAAGTTCCATAAAGTGACATAAACAACACTCTGCCATAAAACCAGAAATGTCTCAAATATCAAATAACAAACGACCACCCCCAGGAAAAATAAACAATTATAACAACTCTTCAGTGAATGAGAAAATGGAAATTTAAATGAATTTCTAAGTGTTGATAATTGACTATTACATATTATAATCTATAAAATAAATTTAAAGCAGTGATCAAAGGAATAGTTATAGTGCTAAATAATTTTTATCAATAAAAATAAAATAATTACATGAAGAAACTAAACTCTCAGATCAAAAAGTAAATCAAAACAAATAAGGAAGAAAATCAACATAAAAACAGAAATCAATGAACTAAATAGAAAAACAATGAGCCTAATTATAAATCAAAATCCTACTTATTTTGATAAACCTATATAAATAAAGTACTAGCTCACATCATAACGGGGGTTGGGGGGGTATGGAGAAATGACACATTTACAAAGTAAGAAAGCCTGAGGAATAAATATCCACCAAAACAGAAAAGCAACAAACAAATCCATATATACATGAGACCATTCTGTAGACTTCTACAAAAATAAATGTGATAACCCGTGAAATAAGACTATTTCCTTAGGAAACACAATTTACCCAAATCAACCCCATTAGAGCCAGGAAGTTTTAAAACAGCAATATGCACAGAATAAACAGAAAAAGTTACTAAGGAACTATCCCGCAAAAACACTAGACCTAGACTGTTTCAGAAGAGAATTCTAAGAAACTTACAAAGATACTTCATAACTGTTTTCTAGAGCACTAAAAATAAAGAAAAACCTCTAATTCTTTTGTGAAAAAAGTTTAACACTGATAACTACAGCTGATGAATAGAGTATAAAAATCCTACAGCCCAGTATCAATATGAAAATTACTAACAAAGTCCAACACCACATCCTTATACAAACTGAGGTGTACTTTTTGGTACTTTTTATATTGTTGCATATAATATGCATTATTACACAAAATATAGCATACTCTTTTACACTATTGCTTTTTAAAATTTACCATTTATCCTAGAAATCACTCCACATCAACTTGTAAAGATTTTCTTCATCCTTTCACAGCTGCATAATACCCCATTATGTGTGAATATATCAAGTTTATTCAACCATTTCCTTGCATTTTTCTTTTTTTTCTTTTTCTTTTTTCAACTACTTTCTTACATATGAGTGTTTTTGGTTGTTTTAAAAATGTCCAAATTACAAACATTGCTACAATGAGTAGCTTTATGCATGTGTATTATCATATTGTTGCAGGTGAATCTTCAGAGTCAATTTCTACAAAAGGGATTGCTGAGTCAGATGTGAAGTGCATTTCTATGTGTATAGAGAGAAACAAGTAAACAGTCATAAAGCAAGCAGAGTCAAGTGTTAACATTTAGGAACTATGGGCAAAGGGTGTGTGGGCATTCTTTGTACTATTTTACAACATTTTTGTAAGTCTCAAGTTATTTCAAAATTAAAAGGCATTTTATTTTTTAAAAAGCATGGTAGCGAGAGCTGGCACACTGTGCTAGTTAAATTAAATGTTCAAGCTCTGGAATCAGATTTTGGTTCAAGTGCCCCGTACACTCCTTTGTCGCTGTGAGAACTTGGATAGTGACTTGAGGTCCCTCGGCTTTGATTTCCCCTTTGATCCAGCAGGTGAGCTACCATGACAGGCCTCAGGGAGCTGCTGTGAGAACGAGACAGGTGTCCGTGAAGGACTCGGCTCAGTGTCTGGGTCTCAGCGGGCGCTCAGTGAATGCCAGGTTCTATTTGCCCAATCCATCTCCACGTGCACAAAACCCCTCACATTCACCCAGCCCACCCTCTGTGCCTGTCTCTTGCACAAAGTCTCCTTCAAAATCCATAAAATAATTAATAAATAATAAAATAACTCAGCAAGTTAATGATTAATATGAAGACTGTGCAAAAACTACAAAAGCAGTTGTGGAGAAATGTTAGGAGGGAAAGAAAGAATCCAGAATCACAACTACCTATAAAGATATGCAAGCATCTAGACAAATAGCTAATACAAGATGGTGGGTTTATGGGAGTTTTACCTTTGAAAATGTGTATTACTGTTAAGGCCAAAAGGAGAATAGAGTAGAAATAAAGGATACTGAGCCTGGAAATAACCTGGTAAATGAACCAGAATATTTCCTAAAATTATCAGCCCAGGGTATTATATTTGTCCTAAGTAGCCAACAACTGTGGGGCACAAAAAAGAAAAAAATTGTAAATAAGGAAACAATGTTTATGCATATCTAAGTTTTTTAGATGTCAGCTCCTGGTAAATTTACAGTCTAGTTGTCAAAACTCTAAGTAGACCATAACACTTCCCTAGTTCAAAATATTATAACTGTCTCCTATCACTAAGAATCAACACAAAATTTTCACAGCTCTATGTAATGTGGCACCTCCACCTCTCTCCAGCCCCACAGGCCACCTCAGAACCTCTGCACTTCTTCCTCCGGCCTAGAATGTTCTTCCCCCAGGTAACTGATTCAAGTGTCTGCCTAAAACTTAGTTCCTCAAAAAGAGACACATGGGGACTTTATCTAACATAGCACATCCCCTTATCCTGCTTTATGTCTCTGCAGAGCACTCGTTACCCAACTTTGTGGTACACGTTTTATGTTTGCTCATCAGTTTCTCTGCTACTAGAATATAACTTTCATTTGGGTTGGGTCTTAGCCTTTTCTTGCAAAAGAATACATTAGTTGGATGAATGATAAATATGAATGAATAAATGCCAGAACCGCACCCCCCCCCAAAAAAAGGTCCATTATCATCCTTGGAGCCCCAGCTGCAATGCAACTGGCTAGGCCAGTAGCCCTAGCTGGTCCATCCGGCAAACCTACATGTATCCTTCCAGTCTTAGATTCCGAACCCTCCTCCAGGAAGATACTGGTTCTCTCTTCCATAGCTAGGTCAGAGGCAGGCAATACAAGTCCAAGCACACAGGCTGAGTAGAGGACTTCAAAGCTCAAGGTAATCCTTACAGTTAAAGGCTATATGGGGCAAGCAATCAAAGCCTATAAAGCATTATCTAAAAAATAAATGATTCTTACCTTAGGTTTAGGATTGTCTTACTTATTTTTCATTGATTACATGGATTGCTTCATTTAATCCTCCCAAGATCTCTGTGCAGTTGGTGTTAATACCAATGTTTGCACCTTACCGGTAAAAAGCCTGATGCTTAGGGCAGTTAAAATATTACCCAACACGTCTCAGCTAGTAGAGCCAGGATCTAAAGTGCCATCTTCTGACTCCTGAGCCTGCCTAAACCTTGGGCATACTGACTTTTGGGGGACTGCACATCAATCAAGAAGCAATTACTACAAGCCTATTGTGAATAACCATGTTGGAATGGAATGTAAAATACACTTAAATTGGTAGAATGGGAGTCAGTTTTATCACTTTGCTATCTCACAAGCTAAAAGAGGGTCATTCCCCTTTTCCACGGATCTTCTGGTCCTACCTGTCCTCCGCCTCCAAAGCCCACCACTTTCATACAGAAACATACAGCCTGGTGTGCCTTGGCCATTGCAACAGAGACCCAAGGCTGTCTTCCTTTTGCTTCCAAAAGGTCTCTAACTCATAACTATTCACAACACACAATTCTCCCCTCTCCTAGAGAAAAAAAAATCAATAATGTTGAAATTTATAATTTTTGTGAAACTTTTAATTTTTCTGAAGCTGAACCTCTAAATATTGGTCCCATTTTCTCCCCACTCCAGTCAGCACATATCTCAGACATATCTTACCTTTTCTCACCTCTGCTTGCATTCTGTTTCTGCTGCAAGAAGTACCCGCCACTGGTAGCCACAGTTCCTTCCCATTTCAATACAAAATTATCAAGAATCCTTTCGGATAATAATTAACTTCATAATAAAGCCCCAAGTCCTCTTTTGCTAATTGTTTTTTGTTTGTATTATGTCAACCTCTAAGGTCACGGACCCATTCTTCTAGCACTGGTAAGTGCACATAAAAAAGTTACCTATAATGCAGTTTCCAAAAATGGCTATGGAGTGATTAAAGCAACCGGATTCCCCTGCATCTAGATTCGAATGCAACATAACTAATGTCTGCAGTAAAGACGGGGGTGGGAGGGCTCCATTCAAGGCCTGCGGGTTTCCTCCCCAAGACGAAAGGCACAGGTCACTTAGAAAACTGCCCGGCAGTGTTCACTGTTACTGTCCGCAAGAACCACTACGCCGAGCTTCTCTTTTTTCAACTTTTCATTGACCGCCTTTCAGTCCGGGGTCGGAGGTCCCGGAGCCACGCGGACGCGCGGAGCAGGGCGGCTCCGAGGGTCTAGGCCGCGGGGTTCCAGTCCGCCACGGCCCGACCCGACCCTGCAGGCCCAGCCGCCCAGGCCCGCGGCCCGCTCGCCCCGCGGCCACCGCGCCGCCCCTCGGCCACCGCACTTCCGGTTACTCGCGGACACTCGGTCCGGGGCTTCCCGGCGGCCGCAGGCTTCACGGCAGTGGACCGAACGGCCCACCGTCGGGCAAGGAGGGAAAGCAAACCTGGGGCCGACGAGAGCCAGGAGCAGCTCCCTCTGTGCGCCGGGGCAGGGAGCTGGGGCTGCACGGTCCGGACGCCTCCACGCTGACCAGGCCGGCTACGCCAGCTTTCTCAGCCCGGCCGGAGGCGGCGGCGCAGCCCCGCCCGCCAGTCACGTGGTCACCCGCCCGCGGCGACAGCGCGCCCCGCCCACGCTCCTGCGCCAATGGGGTCGCACCTCGGAAGGGGCGGGGCCGGGGCGCGTGCGCCCAGGGGCTCTGGGCAGTGATGGACGGGGCCATCGCTGTGCTGCGGCCTTGCCCAAGCTGCGGAGGGCCCGGATGTAGAAGTTCGCGGTTTGCGTTGCAGTTTCCGAATCCTGCTCTTTCTTCAAGGCCGTGAGACCGGGACTGCGCGCAGGAGGGGAGTCGCACGGATGGATGCCGCTAACCCTGAGAAAAACACCCGCAGGACAAGGAAGAAATGGAGGATCCCAAAGTGTTGGATAGGAGGAGGGTCTCAACATCCAGCCATTCTTACTAAATGCTGTTCTTGCTAAATATTAAAACGCACGCCAGGATTTTGTGGGCGCAACTGTCACTGGAAGAGCTTGACCGGAACACAGCCGGGTAAGTGTAGGCGGCTGCGAAGAAGAAATCTACGTGCAATGAACCCAACAGTGTGCGTGAGCCAGGGCCGCGCCTCCCTGCTGGGAGACGGAGCTGGGGAGTGAATCCCGGCCCTTTCCCTGCCTGCAAGTCAATGAAACCCTCTTGTGACAGCCACGTCTCCTTTCTGAATGCAGCACCCCGAGCTGCGCGCCCCCTGAGACGGTATCGGACCTCAGGCGGGGGCTCCTCTGTGGGATTCGGTCGGCCCCCAGCTGGTCCCGGGCTCGCCCTGGGGTCGCGACCTGACAGGACGGGACCGGCCCTGGGCGTGCCGTGCCCCCCAGTGCTGGCCGCGGCTGTGCCGTACCGACCGGCCTCCGCGGTGAAGTCCGGTGGCCACCACAACCTCTTTGCTCAGACCGTTCAATAGGAGGCGGTTGAGTTGGCCCCAGAGGCCTCAGTAATTGGTGTTTCTATTCCCGTTTGGGGCATAGGGTTGTCAGAAGAAGAGTTTCATTTCTGGAGCGCACGTAGGTTCTGAGACTTTACAGGGAAAAGCAAACGAACACAAAGCAAACCTTCGTCAGGGTGCCGACTTAAGGTATTTCTGAAGGGGATTTTCAGGGGGATTGAAGGTAGAGACCTGAGACAGCCCAGTGCCCTGCCTGGCTCGAGATTTCTGGAGGTCATCCTGGGGCCTGCCTGTTCCCGGCCTTTCTGCAGGGGCCTCTTAGGGGAACAAGAACAGAATTCAGTGATGCATGGCATACCAAACCCATAAGGTTTAGCTCAATCAAAGCAGCAGGTTTTTAATTTAAAACTCTTCAGTTAGACTGTGAACTGGTTGCTAGTCAATGCAGGGTCGTCTGAGAAGCTGGAAATACCGCTTAAGAAAAATGGGAAATCAACCTTCAGTTCCAAATTTCAGTCCCATCCTGAAACACTGGACACATTTTGAACATGACCCTTTAACAAAGAAACAAGAAGTTTTCTTTTGCAATGTCACATGGCCCCAATGTGTTTTAGGGAACCAGCAACAGTGGCCACAAAATGGCTCTTTTACTTGTAATCCAATATTACAATTGGAGCTATTTTGGAAAATGGAAAAATGGAATGAAACCTTATACCTTCAGAATTGTATGGCGTTCTATCAAAATCGCAGCCTATAAGAGAAATGTGCATTAAAGAGGACCCAAGGATTAGAAACGGAGGCCCAAGCTCCAACATAGCCAGTCCTTGAGGGCCCCTGGGAAGACCTTGCTTTCTCACCTCCAGGTGCTCCCAGCAGGGGACCTTGTCTCCCTCCTGGGGAGGTCTGTTTCTTCTGAGTTCCCTTTGCCTCCCCCTCCCAGCGCTCAGCCTCCTGATTCCTTTGGTGTCTCTAATCTTTGAGACGTCCCCAGAACAGGGAACGAATACTCCCATCCTGCGTCCCCCACTCCCTGAGTCCGCCACCGTCAAGGTACTAGTCTCCACCCAGGGGGCACACTGGGCTCTGAGTGCCTACTCAGAGACAATGGCTACTGTCTGTGTTCTGTGTCAACATCAGATCTGTATAACGGGGAGGGAAATACTGAGGGACCTCAGGCTGACCTGGAGGAGTTTATTAGCTTGATTAGTGGTATATTCCTCACCCCTAGTTCCACTTGGGGAGATATTTTATCCCTCCTTACCACCCAGCCCACTGCCGAAGATAAAACCTTCACTGTTAAAAGCCAAGGAAGAGGCTGACGAAAACGTGCTCCTCAGCCTAGTAGTCAGATCTGGTGGTGGCTCCCAGGACTGACCCTCAGTCATTGGCCCCAGTGACTGACTAGACAGGGCTGCCTTGGTATTATGGCAGCCTGCTGCAGAAGGGTATGGTGGGTCACCCCACTAGAAACATTCCACAACAGGTCAATGAGAGGCCTTCGACCTTCTCAGAAAGATTGAATGAATGCTTAAGACAATACACTACAGTAGGCCCTGAGGACGCAGGGAGTAACACTATCCTGAGCACCTGCTGCATATCCCCGAGTGCTCCAGACATCTGTAGGAAGTTACAAAAGGTAGTGGTGGGTCCCACCACCCCCACCTGCTAATAGCCAGAGGTGACCTTTAGGGTTTTTAACAACAGGGATGTGGCAGAAGAAAGGAGGAAGGAGTAAAGATGAAAAAGCAAGCAGCTTTTCTGGCCATCTCCCTCCAGGCTTCGGGTAGTCTGGGGAGGAGAGGAGAAAGACGGCCTTGGGTGAGTAACCCTGGCCTCCACCTTGGGACTAGTCAAAGGTGCCCAGCAAATCTGGGGTCTAACCAATGTATGTTTTGCAAACAAGGGGGACGCTGGAAGAGAGAGGGCCCCGAACACTCTGAGAAAGAAGGGGAGGAAAGCTCCCGAGTCTGTGCAGCTGCCCCAGGTGGAAGGGGAGAACTAATGGGGCCTGGGCGCTGCTGCCCTCTTGCCTCCAACAGGAAACATTTCAATCTCCTGTGAGGAGCTTCAGCTTACTCTGAATACAGAAGGGGAGGAAACTGATTTCTGTGAGAAACTGGAGCTACTTACTCTGTTTTTACTACCTGGAAGGGCCCCCTTTCCAAAACAGAATGTGATATGAAAGGGGTGTCAGGGAAGCCAGACACAAATTCTTTGAGCCTCTGACATGTGACATAGGCCTAAAACAGCTTTCAGACTCTGTCCTCTGAGTACCTGAGTGACCTGTTCCCTTCTTAGGAAGGTGCCTACTAAGTCAGTTGGGGGCTGCCATCTATTTAGGTAAAAAAAAAGTTGAAGTACTAATTCCCAAGGACAAAAAAGTAGAGTTCATGGTCCTACCTCACCCAAAGATCAGGGATCTATACCCCCAGAGATTCTCAATCAGGTTAATCCAGCTTTTGGGCACAAGAAAAAGTCGGAAGGTTAAAATATGCCCTACCTGTAAAATAGGTAGTTAAAATAGTACTACTCCCAGAAGTTTTTACCTTTGAATGGGAAGATTCTGACACCCATCAAAAGTCCCAGTATTGCTGAACTGTGTTACCACACAGTTTTAAAAACTCCCCAACTCTGTTCCAGGATCTCCAACTTAAAAATAAGGCTGTTCCACAATATGTAGATGCCATTCTAATTGCCAGTCCTGGTAAAGAACTTTAGACAGGAATACCAGCAGAAAAGGGATACAAAGTATCCCAGAAAAGAGTCCAGATATCTGAACCAGAAGCACCTGGGTTTTCTTATTTCCCAAGGACAAAAAAGCCTACATCATAGTAAGAGGCAGGAATACCCAGTCTAGCTCCACCACAACTGAGAGGTTTTCTCTGAACGACAGCATTCATGATCTGAATCACTAATTTTTACCTTACAGCCAAGTCCCTGTGTGATAAGTTGAAATGAGACCAGAATAAGTCTGCAGTGAGACAAAGGGTGCCAGAATGCTTCTGAGAAACCAAAGATCAAAGGAAGCGCCTACCCTGGGCTTACCTGAGTTGGAGAAGCCGTTTGAATTGCATTGTGTGTGCCTGGGACTCCAGGAATTGCCCCAGGGGGTTAGATCATCTGTGGGGCCTCTAAGTCAGGGCATTGCTTTTTTTTTTTTTTCTTAAAGCAACTAGACACAGACGCTGCCTGAGGGCAGTGGTTGCAACTTGCCCGTTAGCTACAGAAGCAAGAAAAGTTAACAATCAGACAGCCTCTAACTATACAGACCTCTCATCAGGTAGTGAGGGCCCTGAAAGCAAAGGAGATAATTGGCTAACAGAAGGAGAATGATTCAATACCTGGCCATGTTCTTGGGCAATCTGAGCATCACTATAAAAGTTGTCACACCCTCAATCCTGCTGCTCAATTTCCAGCCTCCTTCAAAGCCCCAGATCATAACTGCTGAAATAATTGTATTCTAGTAGTAATAACCTTAGGAGTGAGCCATCAGCCAACTCAGAAGAAATATGGTTCACCAGGGGGAGCAGTTTTATAGGCAGGGAGTCAGAAGGGCAGGGTATGCAGTGATATCCTTGTTCACCACCATTAAAGCAACAGCTTCCCCCGGGGGACTTCTGCTCAAAAAGCTGAACTCACAGCATTGGCCAGAGCCCTGGAATTAGGAGAAAATTAAATTGTAACTATATTTCTTTAAAATACAAGATAGAGCTTCCTGCACATATCACTCTCAAGTGATATACCCCTGAGTGAGAACAAGGGGCCAGATCCACAGGACTTGGGGAAGCCCTGTCTGTCCTCAAGCTGCTTTTCGAAGGGTAAGTGATGTCCAACAAGTCTGCTCTTACCTCTTGTGGTCTTTTATATCCTGTCTCTTTACACATCCTTTTTCTCAGGACTCCCAGAACCTAGGGTGCCCAAGACTTTGATAAGTCAGGCAGCCAGAGAATTTCACTGTAGCTCAAAGACAAATTCTGTCTGTGTTCAGCAGGAAGCATTTATGACCCTGTCCCCATTCCCTCCAGAATGAGGAGGGGAAAACCTCAGGGGTGGGGGGGTTGTTAGATGTGGGGACAAGGGTCTAAAGGTCTGGGCAGTTCTTACTAAATGCCATTCTTGCTAAATGTTAAAATGTACAACTGTATTTT